ATTGACTTGGAAATGCTATATATTGTAGTGATTTTCATTGTTCTTCGATCTGAATTTGTCATAAATTATAATACATTGAAATATAGTGATGGGGACAGCTTATGCTATGTCAGTTTGTACTTGGCCTACAGCCAATACAGTACAGTTCCAGCTCAGCTTTTGACCAGATAAGATCAGTACCAATTGGTTCTAGAATGACAGCTAGCACCGTCAGCAATATTTGTGATTTTAGTCACTCTTCAGCCAGCAGATTTCTTTCAACTAGATATCATCTCAGAAGGCAGTATCTATTATTTTTATGAATATTTGAAAATAATCAAATCAAAATATGTATACATTAGGGGTACCGGAAAGTAATGTCATTTCTGAGCATGTCACTATTTGATTGTCGTTAGGTAGCTGATTCTGTACATCTAAGTAATTTTAAGGTTATAGTGACTTGTTTAGTTGTAAATAATTAAATTTAAAAGTTTTTAAGCCATTTTGGGTGAAATGGTGGGTCGAATAACAGAAGAGGTACATAACAGGCATAGCTTGCTTTTGGAGTTTTGCAAGGGTAGTTATAAAACAGTTGCTACCCAAAACATTTGCAATTTTTATCCAAATGCATTCTAATATCTATATTCATAAATGCCGAAGGTGGTTTTCCCAGTTAAAATCTGATAATTTTAATCTTTTCGACTCGTATCAATCAGTGTCAGACATTCAAGGAATTGTCAAACAGTCTTGTTCACACCAACTGATTTTTATCAATCCTGCATTGAAAATTAGCACACTAGATGGCAAAAGGTTATTGATAATGAGGGCATTTCCATCATTGACTAAAAATATAAACTCGTTAAAAATTTATGTGTTTAAATTCAATGAAAGTAAACGACATTATTTTCAGGTCTCCCTTACTTTAATTATAAATACAATTTTTTTATGTGTAGTGCTGTTGTTTATTGGATTTCAAACCGAACCTGTAAGCCCTCAGCCTAAATTAACGTTATTGGCTATAACATAAAAATATTTTTATTAATGATTTAAAAATAACTTTTTTTATTATTAAAAACCTTCATTATATATTTATGGCAGAAGTGGAGTAGTTCAGTTGTTATGGCACTGACTTCCAAGGTCCTGAATTCTAATCCGGCTGTTAGCAGGTAATAGTTTATCAGCCGTGGATGGATACTGGCATCGGGAGACGCTCCAGGGCCATACTTAGTCTCTATTAAGTGGGTACCCTAATTTAAATAGTCAATTAAGAGGGAAAGCATGGTAGTTGAAAGTGATCCTGACCCGATTACCTCCCTGCACAACTGTTGGCCTTGAAACAGTATCTCCTTACAAAGTACTGAACCCAAGATCTTTCATGGGCCATAATGGTACAAATTTTAAATATAAATATGTGCTTGTGTGTGTGGAGGCCAGCCAAGCAGGCTAAGAGGTTTGCAATAGGTAATCAAAGTTAAGCAATATCCAGTATGGTAAGCATTTGAATTGGTGACCATCCACCAGGGAAAAACATACTGCCCAAGATTCCTCCTTCCCACGGGTATGTAAAACCTGTCAGCCTACTGAAGAAAACTCAATACGATTGACTACCCTACTCTGTACTTAAAGCGGGATGTGGTTTTCCAGAATGTCAGTAGCCCCCTGAGGTTTAGTCCATGCACAGTCTATTTCAAGGAGAGAAATATAGGAAATATGCCCTCTTGCATCTGCTGACTCTGATAATCCATGGGTCTAGAGCGATTTATCACTGTCCTTGAAATTGAGTGAGTCGTTGGAAAGGACATTGGTCTATAGCAAAGATTGGGTGATCTTCTCTCCAGGCTATCTGTCCTCCCGTAAGCAATATACGTCTGTAAGGAGACCACATCTCATGGCCAAAGATCTAAATGGTCTATAGTGCCAAACAAAAATAAAAAGATATACATATTTTTTTGGTTGGTGCATCTATGCTCCAGCAAGCAATATACGTCCATCAGGAGACCACATCTCAGAACCCAAAATCTACAGGGTCAATAGTGCCAACCGAAATATATATACATATATACACCGGGTGTCCCATAAGTAGAAGGAAATTTTTAGTAATAGCAGACCTCAAGAGCTACAAAAAAGTTTGTATGAACAATAGGCTAATTTTTAGTAGAAAAATAGAAAATCCAAGTTTTGTATCCTTTTAGTTAAGTCAAGAGAAAGCTAAAGAAATATTTAATTCAAGTAATTGGCAATTGCTTCACTGTACATTAGATAAAATTTGCTACAAATGTAATTAAGAGTTTGTCATTGCTAAAACCATTTAAAGAGGACTTTTGAGCGGCTAAACTAGGCTAAGCTCTGTTTTTAAAAAATCATAAATTATTTATAATTTTTTTTATCACCATTCAACTATACTACAGATAAACCACTTTAATACAACTTCCTCGTTTAATAAGCTTCAAGTCCATATTAATTAAGTTGAGGTTTATTGGGCAAAAACTTAAGATTCACCTCAAGTTGCATAAAAAAAAAAAATGATGTGATTTTCTATCCGGTCACCTAAAAGTACAAATGTTTTAAGCAAAAGTGACCCAAATAACTGTTGCAAAGCTTTTATTTTTTGTTTTTCTATGATCTGGGATGTGTTGTAATAAAAATAATTGCCTAAATAAACTTTTTATTTATGAAATAAAAAATCTGATGTGTCCATTCACAAGACTTTCCTACCTATTTCAGAAAAGTTTTTATATCTTTACATACGCCCATTAAGGAACAAAAAAAAAAAAAAAAAATTGAATAAGATTTATTTTCCTGAAAATTGATCGAAGAAAAGATTTGAGTACGATTTATTTGATAAACTAAAGCATTGTAAGCAGGCTTAGGATAAATCAGTGTAAAAATTGCAATACCCTCTAATATTGCTGATCAAAAACTTTTTGTCATAGCCTAATTTTGTCACACAATAATTTCTGTAAAAAGTAGAGGAAATAGTGAAGATTGTGTGATGCAGACAACAGATTTTCTTACTGTCACTTAGTTATCTTTTTTCTCTCTCATTCACCCCTTTCTGACACCAGGATAGGAACCCTTGATCTTAAATTGGAATAAATTAATTAAATTAAATAGCTGTAACTTCGTCAATAGTTGTCTGAAATGAATGATTTTTATACAGTTTTGTAGGTAATTTCATACATTAAAAAAAAAACACTGCTTTTTCCACAACTCAGGGGGCTCTGTAGGTATAGATCCGTCGAAAACCACAAATCGGCAATACTTTCTTTACCCAGTATAGGTAGGAAAGTAATAATAAATTAAAACATGTGTAGAAAATAGAATACACTGTGTCATCGCTAATACTGGTTCGATTCAGATGATTTTTTTTTTTTGTTTTTTTAGTAATTTAATTACCTTTCAAAAGTTTTATTATAAATTTTACTGTAGAATATATACTCAGCGAGTTAGGCCCCAAAACATTTTTATTTTCTTTATAACTTTTTTTCTCGGGAATTTGGCACATGTACGAAAATTGAAAGGACAATTGTTAGAACATTATAGGAAAGTTTCATCAAAATCGTTGGAGCCGTTTTTGTGCTATAGTCTATAGGAAAACATGTTTTTCACTTATTGCGCATGGAGCACCCAATTTGTGTCACAGATAACAGTAGTCAAAACCCTAAAAAAAAAAAAAAAAAAAAAAAAAAAAAAGCAACAAAATCGGTTTACCAGTTCCTGAGAAAATCTTTGCACAGACAGACAGACAGACCAAAGGCTAAAAATGTGTTTTTCAGACTCAAGGGGCTCGTATAGATTCCGTCGAAAACCGCATATCGGAAATTCGACCCAATCGCAATACTTTCCTTACCTAGTATAGGTAGGAAAGTAAAAATTTAAAAGTAATGTTTTTCACCCAGATCTATTGTATTTATAAGTGATAAACTTAAATGTTTCTAGCCCTAATATTTATGTTTTCATGAAAATAACTGATGGAATTAGCAGGTTTCTTTATTTTAAACATAAATTTTAGGACTAGAAACATTTAATTAGTCACTTATAAATACGAATCAATTCCTATGACAAAGATCTGTGAAAAAACACAGTTCATAACCACATTACAAGAAAAATATTTATCATATTTTGTGCATAGACAAATCTCTATCTTATATAATAGAGATCTGGGTGAAAAACATGAAAATATCTGAAAAATATTACTTTTAAATTTTTTATTTTATAAATAAAAAGTTTATTTAGGCAAATTATGTTTATTACAACACATCCCAGGTCATAGAAAAAAATAAAATAAAAGCTTTGCAACAGTTAATTGTAGTCATTTTTGTGGAAAATACTTGTAATTTTAGGTGACAGGATAAAAATCTTATAATTTTTTAATACAGATTGAGGTAAATCTCAAATTTTTGCCAAATAAACCTCAACTTAATTAATATTATTATTAATACTAATAATATAATTAATATACTTATTAAACGAGGAAGTTTTTCTAAAAATGGAGTAACTGTAGTATAGTTGGATGATAAAAAAAATAATTTAAAACAAAACTTAGCTTAGTTTAGCCGCTAAAAATCCCTCTTTAAATTGTTTTAAAAATGAGAAACTTTATTTTCATTTGATGTAAATTTTGTCTAGTTTACAGTGAAGCAATTGTTAGTTACTTAAATTTAATATATTTCTTCAGTTATTGCTTCCTATTCAACAAAAAGCATGACTTAATTTAAAAAACTTGGATTTTCTACTTTTCTGCTGAAAATTGGCCCATTGTTTATATGAACTTTTTTTAGCTCTTGAGATCTTCTATTGCTTCTATAAAAATTTCTCTCTATTTACAGTACACCTATTATATATATATATATATATATATATATATATATATAATATATATATATATATATATATATATATATATATATATATATATATATGCAATGGCCTTATATAAAATTTCCTAAGATATTTTAGATGGCATAATAAACTAATATGGAACATACACTGAAAAATATATATTGAAAAAGTAAATATACCATCAGGTAAATCCTGTTTGTTAGCAAATATTAGGATTATTGCATCTCTCATTTCCCGATCATTTATAATTCGATGAAGTTCTTGCTTTGCCTCATCTATTCTGTCTCTATCTGCACAATCAACAACAAAAATCAAACCTTGGGTTCCTGTGTAGTAATGACGCCAAAGAGGACGAATTTTATCTTGCCCACCAACATCCTAAAATAAAAAAATAACACTCTGTATGATAGTCATAAAAATATTAACAATTTTAGTAAAATTAATAAACATATATATTTATTTATCGCAATTTAGACCAATTAAGGACTGCAGGATATATATATACACGTGTATGAGGGGGTGGAACTATAATGGAGAATTGTAGCTGCGAACCATTAGCCGTGGCTGCACTGATTTGAGACAACAGTAGGAGGTTCGAAAAACTGATGAAGGAACCAACTCAAGAGTGTCTCCCGTGTTAACACTATAGTATGTTAAATAGAACCCAAAGGATAAATCATCTTTATTAAGATAAATCCACGAGCTGGTAACACATTTACTGATGCATTTCACATGTAAACTAAACTACCTTGTGTAGTTCAGAAATAAGGGGTCGTTCTGATTATCAATTTATTATCAACCAAATGACCTATTGGCATAGAGAAATTATTTACTTATATCTTTGCAGTGGGGATATCTTGCTAGAGTCGTCAAACAATCTGATACCTTCAGGAGGTTGACGTCTGGTTGAGAGTCAGACCGAATATTGATTGCTTTTGTGATATTCTTTTACTTTATTTATATTTCGAGTATTCTATTAATTTGAGGAGTTAGTCGGGGGTGCGGTCAGATAAATACTAAATTAAAATATAGTAATTATTTTATTTTAATTTTATAAGAAGATATAAAATAAGAAGAAGTTGTCAGATACAGAAATAAAAGATGATATCAGAGATATAGTGTATAACGACCCCACTATATCTCTGATATCATCTTTTATTTCTGTATCTGACAACTTCTTCTTATTTTATATCTACTTATATTTAATTTTTATTCTCAACGTGTTTTGTATCTTTTGTAGCCCTGAAGAAGACCTGCAAAGTGGGTCGAAACGTCGGCAAAATTAAAATAAAATAATTACTATATTTTAATTTAGTATTTATCTGACCGCACCCCCGACTAACTCCTTCTCATATTATACCAACGGTCAACCATCTCTACATCATTATTCTATTAATTATTATTATATTGGCATTATATATAGCAAGCGTATGTTGTTATTGTTCTTTTTAGTTATTTGTATTTACATTGTTATTTTGATAGATTATTTATAGTGAGTTAGTATTTATTGTGAATTTTAATAGATTTTAATATATATCTTGTAGATAATATTTTTAGAAAATTTTAAATTTGTAGATTTAATTTATAAATATGGTTCCATGTATGGTGAAAAATACAATATACTTGTAGAAGCTCAGTTGCATTTATTTATTATTTTTCCTGGCATCCATCTTAAAATATATATATATATATATATATATTCTTCCTTATATATATACATAACATTTCTTAATGATAGAACAGAAAGAGGCTATGCAAACTTAAGATTTTTTTTCTCCCTTCTAGAGAATTTACTTGTCTTAATTATTTTTTTTATCAAGAAACTTCCACAAATCTTTTATAAAATTTATGTCAGGACTCTGATTCAACTATTTCATACATTTTAAATATCCTAGCTCTTTTTTTTGTTGCTTTATGCCCTTTTATAATTCTGGCTCTGTACTTGGGATTGTTGTCAAGCCGTCTAATGAATTCCAGCCCTATAAGTCACATAAGAGCCTTTGTCTGTGAGGGTACCGCAATATTTTTTGCACTTCCATTTATTTATTTATTTTTTTTAATGTATTCTCTTCAATTTTTACTACTCTCCTTAATACTCTAAAACACGGGTCTCTAAACTGTGGCAAGAGAGATGGATTCACCTCCAATCTGGGGAGCGAAAGTTTCTTTGATTATAACATGGTAAAATTTTAAAAAAAAAATTGAAATTTAGTAAATAAATCAAACATGAGGTTACTATATTTATTGAACAAGTTGTTTCTCATAGAAAGCTCATCCATAGCAACTGAATTGTCATTTATAGAAAAAGCTGTCATTTTTGGAGGTCTCAATATGGCCTGTGGGACTTAGAGGAAGTATCTATAGCATTTCCAAGTCAATTTCAACCTTTTCCAAATCAAATTAAATCTTTTCCATTTCAAATTCAACCTTTTCCAAGTCAAATTCAACTTTCGAATTATTGATTTTTTTTTCTAAAAGGCTACTTACTGTATTATCGAAGGCATAGATTTTGAAAAATACAAAAAAAATTATGATAACGCAGTTGCATATCCATTTATAGTAACTTTTTAGATTTTTTCAGTATAATATTTCCATGTCACATTCAATTTTTTCCAAGTCAAATTCAACCATTTTCATTTTAAATTAAACCTTTTCCAGTTCAAATTCAACTGTTTCCGTTTCAAATTTTTGATTTTTTTAAAAATAAGGGCCACTTCCCGCTCCCCATATGAAGGTATATTATTATGCTCCCTTAAGTAGAGTTTTTCAAAATACTATCGATTTTATGTCACATTTACGGATATCGATTTATTGTACCTATTCAGATTTATTAATGTCTAATATTATGTTGTTGTGTGCCTAGTTTTTGGAAATGACCTCCATTTTAAGATTACGCCACTGCGTTTCGACTTATTTAAGTTTTTCGTATTTTTCCATATATGGGTGTATTCTTATGTTCCCAGAGCCGTAGATTTTGAAAATGACCTCCGTTTTATGATTACGCCACTGCGTTTCGAATTATTTAAGTTTTTTGGATTTATTCGATGTAAGGGTATATTCTTCGACCGGAGCCGTAGATTTTGAAAATGGTCTCCATTTTAAGATTACACCACTGTGTTTCAACTTACTTAATCTTTTCGAATTTATTCGATGTAAGGGTCTACTTATTATATGTTATCAGAGACGTAGTTTTTGAAAATGACTTCCTTTTCAAGATTATGCCACTGTGTTTTGTTTATATAACTTTTTTGGACTTATTTGGTATAAGGAACTACTTATATGCTATCGGAGACATAGTATTTGAAATTTATTTAATCTTTATTTCAAAATTACACTGCTGCATCTCGATTAATTAAGCTTTATTTTGGATTTTTCCAATACAAAATTTCATCAATATGTTTTCAAATATGAATAAATAAATATTATGAAGCTAAAGTTGAATTAACCATAAAACACTAAGTAAAAAGCCGAAAAATCAACTGGTAATAAATTAAAACCTACCATTTTCAGATTTTTCAGCTAATTGTTCGAAATTTGTAACTTATAATTTTTGTAAGAGGATACACAACATTAAAAATGAAACTTAAATTAATTTTCAAAATGAGACAATAGATATTTTATTTATTTTGGCTAAAAAATAAATGAATTCTTTGTATTTTTTCACAAACATAAGAATACACTCTTATATCGAATAAATCCGGAAAACTTGTCAAAATGTAGAGGTGTTATCTTAAAATGGAGGTCATTTTCAAAATCTATGGCTCCGGAAACATAAAAGTAGACCCTTATATCAAATAAATCCGAAAAACTTGTATAAGTCTAAATGTGGTAGTGTAATCTTAAAATGGAAGTCATTTTCAAAATCTACGGCTCTGGAAACAAAAAAGTAGACCCTTATAAGAAATAAATTCGAAAAACTTAAATAAGTTGAAATGAAGGTGGCATCATTTTAAAATGAGGTTATTTTCAAAATCTACGGCTCCAGAAACATAAGAATACACCCTTATATATAATAAATCCGAAAAACGTAAATAAGTCGAAACACAGCGACTTAATCGTAAAATGGAGGTAATTTTCAAAATCTATGGCTCTGGAAACATAAAAGTAGACCCTTATATCAAATAAATTAAAAAAACATAAATAAGTCGAAACGCAGCGACTTAGTCGTAAAATGCAGGTCATTTTCAAAATCTAAAGCTCCGGAAACATAAGAATATACCGTTATATGGAATATATCCGGAAACATAAAAGTAGACCCTTATATCAAATAAATTCAAAAAACGTAAATAAGTTGAAACGCAGCGGCGTAATCTTAAAATGAAGGTCATTTTCAAAAACTACACATACAATAACTGACCCGTACATCGAAAAATTAAAAATAATTAAATAAATAAAAAAAGGTTGAATTTGAAATGGAAAAGGTTGAAATTGACTTGGAAATGCTATATATGGCCCTTAAGCATTGTTTTGTTATAGAAATAAGGAAACTTTGTCAGAAGTATTTGAAAGAATATGGAAATTGGACCAAAATGGTCTGAAAAAATGTCTCATGAACTGGTGAAAGTAATCAATATTTTTAGCATCCATTTTTCCTTCTATTTTTGTAGGACCACCCATCCAATCCAGAATGAGAAAAAAACCCTTTGACATTATTAATCATCCACCATGCCAGAAAATTGATAGTAAAAAAATCATCCAAGAACTCTCCCTGCATTAACCTGACGTGCTGTCTACTTCTAGAGCCGAACTTTTCAAATTCAGATTCATTCACTTTTCATGTTCTTCCACAAACTTTAGATGCTTTTCTATAAATTTCTGACAAAAAAATAGACTGAAGAGAATTTTAATGTTTTTGTATTATTAAGAATATCATAGTATCCTCACACACTATGAAATAAAATTTGGGATGAGACTTATAGGGCCAGGATTTGTTTTCCATCATGACAATGATCTAAAGCATACAGTATTGGATAGTAATATAAAAAATAATTGGAAAGAAAAGGACAGGGACATTTAAACTGTATAAAATAGCTGCCCTACAGACCTGACTTAAATCATACACACCATTTTTAGACATTGTGAGGTAGAAAAAGAACTGAAACACAGGAAAATTCTCTAGAAGACCCATGAAGAATATTAAAATAAGAATAGTAATAAAAATTCTAGATTAAATACGCTCTTTGATTTCTACTGTTAAAGATATACTGCTAAACACCTAAATAAACCAAGAAGGATACACTAGATACTATTTTTTGGTAAATTTTATATATTTATTAAATATTTGTTTCCCATGATAATATTTTGGAAATAATTAAATTCAAATTTGTTTCAAAATAATTTGATTTTTCTTTTTTCCAATTCAAATATGACTCTATAATTGCTGGTTTACTTATAAAAAAAAAACAATCAACCCTTTGTAGGTCACTGATACATTTATGTACCATAGCCACATTAAGGTTTGAACTTAATATGTCACTAATTACGACCTTTCTATTACAAAATTAAAATTGTTAAGTAATTGTTCACAAGCACACACTTGCTTGTAGTGATTTATTGTACCTTAATCCTCCTATCAAGTTTCATTCAGAGTAAAACATCCTAATTAGTTCTAATTAAGTTTCATAACTTGCTAATAAAAATTGATAATTGGCATAACACTTTCTATTGTATTTGTATTATATGTATTATTTTAGAAATACTATGTGATGAAGACTGGATGCAGTGCGATTAATTCGGAAAGCCTTAAGATTTAAACAAAGTAATATATATGTATTAATCATTTAAATACATAAAGAAAGCAACCAGGAGTTCCAAAGTATTTTAAATATTTATTTTTTTAACACACATATATTTCAGTTATCAGCATTTCTACAATTAAATTTTAAAAACAATAAAATAGAAGAACTTCACTTACCCATACATTGAATTTCACATTTTTATAGGTTACAGTTTCAACATTAAATCCAACTGTTGGTATGGTAGTAACTGACTGACCAAGCTTCAATTTATATAGAATTGCTAATAAAATAAAATTAAAGAAAAACAAAGTCATTGAATGCTCTATGATAATTAATAAATTACGAATAATTAAGGCAATTTAAGTAGTATAAATAGTAATTTCATTATCCTAAAATAAGTGCTCACAACATGTTATAGAAAGAAAATTGATCTTATAGACCAGTGTATAACAAGCGCAAACAGAATTTTATTTCTCTCTTTGGTAAACATATTGAATTCACAAAATATTTATTTTTTATTTTAGATAATATATCCATTTACTCAAAATGTTTTATTTTTAAATTAGAATAAGATTAGAAAAAAAAAAAAAGAGGAAAGGATACTGGTCTTTCCAGCAGCATCAAGACCCAACATGAGTATACGCATTTCCTTGTTGCCAAAGATTTTTGATAGAAGTTTTCCCATTGCTCAGCCAAGTCATACTAAAATAAACAAACAAAAACATGAATATGTGAAAAAAATCTAAAATATGATTGTATATCTTATTACGTATAAAAGTTAAGGTAATGCTTTCCTTACTCTTGATTCTCTCTTTATTCACAATAATTGGTACATAATTTACCTAATTTAATTACAATTGCAATACAAATCTGCTGAATAAGAATGTGACTTTTCTTAAACCTCTTTCACCTCAGTCCATACTGTCCTCTAGTAATACCAATATGATTGCAAATCTCAATATTTAAAAAATCACTAGGATTATTTATATCATACATTATTGGCAATATCCAGGAAAATGAATACAAAATCAAAGAAACAACTATTTTAATCATCTCATTATGAGCCAATCACAATATGAACCAATACACAAGAAAAAAAAAATACAAAATTATATCCTAGTTTTAATTCCTACAAGGAATAATCATATCAAAATTAAAGTATTTTGCCACGAATGTAAAACAGAGTTTTGAATATACAGGACCATTATAACAACAACCATGTTAGATCAGAATTAAAAAATTAATATCCCTCCACATAAATATTTTTTCCTACTTCTTGCATCCTGAATTTGTGCGAAATTCAATGAAAATCTAACACATTAGTCATAATTATTTAATAAATAAAGAGACAAACAAAATACAGAACTTTCGATTTAAAATTTGTGTCCAATTATATTAAAAATTAAATGCAAAAAGATAAAACAAAAATTAATAAAATAATTTTCTTAAGAAATTGTAATTCATTCTTCACTTATCAGCCACTGAACCTAGATCAATCAGGGGTTTCTCAGTATAAATAGTAGCTCCATTACATGGTCTAAGTAAATTAGCCTTGATGATACTTACACGGTAAATGTGTCCTAATGTGTTTTGATCTGAAGATTATAGTGCAAATCCTAATTTTGCAATTCTGAATAATACTTTCTTAACAACTCACCTTTACATCTCCTTGTGGACTGATGTAGGGTTCAAAAGAAATTTCATTGCAGCAGAAAGTAGTGCTCATGGAACCAGTTAACAATAATTTATAATACTTCTACAAGACTTCAAATTATCACATTTTTTCTAATTAAGAAATCTTTTATAGCTACACAATTTTTTCTAAATAGAATATATTTACATAATATGGCACAGGGCGTGTATCGGTTCTAGAACTTATTGTGAGTATAAACAGAATAAATAGAATATTGTCGAGTATAAATAGAATATTGAACTTAATCGCAAATCTAAATCAAGCCTTTAGATACAATTTGTACAATCCTATAAACAAAATAAAAAAAACTCCAGCCTAAATAATGGCTTTAAAATAACATACCTAACCAATCGCCACATTCAAAAAATTGTTTATCATATTTCTCGAGCAATTTAGAAAAAATATATAACACTCATAAACCTTTCATAATACTAACCAGTACATATGAAGTTCAGAAGCAGGACAAGATGTATAATAGAATATAAATATTTGCCAAAATGCTTGAGCCCAGCCAACCTCCAAATAAGATGTAAAAATTTTAAATATAATAAATGAATTAAGAGAAGGTTTGAAGTACTGAAACAGAAAAAAAAAATCATAAGTTATAAAATTTTGATTAAAACATAAACAGTTAAAAATAAATTAGAAAAGTAAACATTATGTTGAATAAAAAAAATTAAGAAATCTATAGAACATACATTAAGTGCTAGCCATAGAAACAATAATTTAAAGTCAACAAAATTGCTAAAAAGTAACTCTTGAAATAGTTAAAGTAACATTAACTCAAGAAAACATGATTTCAGATAAAAATTTCTTTAAAAAATGAGTGAAATATTTAGTAGTCATAACCCATACTTTAATATTCCATGAAAAAATAAAATGATTAGGGGTTTATACATAATTATTTTTAAGCTTTTCATTATACTGATGACTGGATAATTTCAAAGTCTAATATTTTATGACTGGAAAGATCATACATAAAAAGAAATTCACAAATGAAATCAAAACTTTCATCGATTAATAATATACAAGTAAGGATTTGGGATAATTTTCTCTTGTTAGTTCATTCTATTCCCCTAAAGTATTACGCTAATGCAACCATAATACATAATCATAAACCATTACATGCTCTAATAATTAAATATACTCTTTACATGAAGTAACAATATAAAGAAAATATAGTTACACACCTAAAATGATATCCATGTTAAAACGTTTGAGTAAAACATAAAAGTCCTGTGTAATGTGAATTGATAAGTTTTGAGTTTGAACAATTGTAAATAAAAGTTAATGAAAATAATATCTTACATAATAGCAACTTAATTCATGCAGGTAGTTTTATTTTTCGGGGATCAATTGAAAGCTTCCAAAATGTTAAAAACTAAACCCGAAGATAAATAAATTTCACCCAACAGAACCAATTGCGATACATTATCATTATTCAAATCTTAACAAAGCATGAAAATAAATTTTCAGTACAGAATCACAAGGTCAAATTAAGTCAACTGTCACTGTACATATTATATGAAAGAGGGTAACCTGGAGAAAAATAATTTTCTTGGGGACAATACCGTAACTACAAAGAGTAAAATTAAATATAAATAATTTTAAAGAAAGGAAAATCACTTTTTAAGAAAAAGAAAAATGTAGTTAGTGGGATGGAGATTTCCAATCAGAGACTTAATAATTGATAAATAAATCATCTACCTCAACTCTGATTATTCCATTTCATTATAAATAATCAGGACAACTGTCACTCATTCAATACTCACAATGAATGCAGACTTGGGTAGTTGCAATTTAAGAACATTTGTAGTGATGGAAGCCAAGCATAATTTGAGCAAAGTTGCAGAAACTGCTTTGTAGGTCTATTAATAAAACACAAAAGTGGAAAACTGAAAACAAGTTATTAACTAACAAGAATTATAGATTGATGTGTATACTATATGAACATCATAACATGGACAAAGAATTACTTTTGATAATCAATGTAAATTCATACCTTAAAGTTGAATTATACACTGATTAAGAACAAATTAAAATATCTGGATGTAAAACATGAATGTATGGAATAATAAGACAAGAGTGAAAATCCACTAAAAAAAATTAACCAAAACTAACCTGGATATTCTATTATCATTAACTAATTATATAAAAAGTAATTAATCGGGTAGGAAATTAATAAATAGAAAAAACAAACAAAACGTTACATTTCAAAGAGATAAAGTTCATCTAAATTATAATTGAGTCAACCACATATCGATATCCAGTAATTTAGATTTGATTTCTCTTCAGGAACTAATATAGCCGTATCCCTCCAACTTCAAGCAAATGAATTCAAGACAAGTGGCTCCACCTACCATCTTACTAAAATATATATTTTCAAGCGAAAACGCTAATGACTTGTCCTTCTGAGTGTTTAAATAATGTGAAACCAATCAAAATAATGTAAAAATAAAGTAAAACTTTTTAAAACTCTCTATATCACTTATAACTCTCTTACTTCATATTAATTAATTAAAGAAAAATTTATACGGATTTTAAGTAGATTTTGAAGGAGAAATTCAATTAAAATGTTAAATTAGTAATTTTCATTCGTTAAAATAAAACATTATATTTATTTTTCAATATTTTAATATTGACATTGGATAAAAGCAAAAATCTGATAAAATATTGAGTAAATTAATATTGTTTGACATATACAGAGTGTACCGTAAATATTATTTGAAACCTAAGGAGGTAATAAGGGCACCTTATACGGTCAGTATCCAGAAACATATGAAGTATCGAAAAACGTGTATTAGAGAGGCTGGATTTGGCCAACCAACAAATTTAGTTTTCATTAAATTGTGATTGAATCTTTCTTTTTTCTTCTTAACTACCTTTCCATTTTTTAGAGTGGATAAAAATACATGTCGATTAAGCAAAAATACATCTGTTTTGTTCTATGGGAGTCATTTAAAATTTTAGGTAATTTTGAAAGTTTGGAGGTAATTTTGAACATTTGCTCCACAGCAAAGTTTCGGAATCTACGAAAATTGTTTTTAAAAAAACCTTATTTGAGATGTCTACATCAGTAATAAACAAACGGCAACTGCCATCATCTGTGATTTTTGTCTTGGAATCTAATTACATTTATTAATACCTGTGGCGAGGAGGTAAACACGATAATAACTATTAAGGATGGGAATTAATCGGGTGTAATTCCAAAATGATTGTATTTTGGTCGTGTTAAAGGCACCTTATACGGCCTGTATCTATTTCGTCAATATATTGACTGTGTAATAGCTACATTGATATCAATTATATTGACGTCAGTCAAACTGTTTGATAGAAATTAATTTTAATTTGAAGCTCCCTCAATATTATTGAAAGTGTCAATATAATTGCTATTGCAAGGGCTATATTGAGCAATATTAAATAATGTATAAAGTGATGGAAAAAAGTATTTGCACAACACGTTTTTATGAATAAAGCAGTTCAAGGAAACAAAAAACTTCGCTTTCCTTTGCAAAAATGAAAAGTAAATTTATTAAAAACTGAAGGAAACCTTTTTACAAAAAAATAAAAACACTTCATAATCAAACAAAACAATTAAAACAATAAAAGTGCTTGAAAATGTATTTGGACACTTCAACATTTACAAGTTTATTTTAAATTTCAATATTTTGTAAATAGGCCATTTGCGTCAATAATTGCTTGTAGACGTCTGGACATTGAATGCACTAGGTTTTTAATTAAATATACGTTTATTTGTTCCCATTCTTGAACAAGAAGTTGTTTAAGGTGATGTCCACTAGTGATATGGTGTTTTCCTACATTTTGGTCAAGGGTGTGCCATAAATTTTCAATGATATTTATATCTGGTGACTGAGGAGGAGTGTGAAGCTGTCTTGGAACATTAAATATTAACCTCTCCTTTGTTCTCCTCGCAGTATGTTTTGGATCGTTGTCCTTCTGGAAATAGTACTGATCCTGGATTCCCATTTTTTCGGCACTAACACGCAAATTACGTCGCAAAATGTTCACATAGTCTTCCGCATTTAAAATGCCTTCGATGCTCACAAGATTACCCACGCCATGGTAGGAAACACACCCCTAAACCATAACATGTCCTCCACCATGCTTTACAGTTGTTAAAACATTTTGCTTCTTTAGGGCTTCATTACGATGTCGCCTTATCGTCCTTCGAACATCTGAACCAAACAAATTAAATTTGCTTTCGTCAGAAAAGATGACATTTTTCCAAAAGCTTAAGATTTCTTTAAGTACTCCCTAGCAAAAGCAAGGCACTTTTTGCGATTTGTTTCACTGATGTATGACTTCTTTCTTGGAACTCTACCATGGAGACTATCCGAATTCAGGGCATATCTAATTGTTCTGCTAGTAATCTGAACTCCAGAGGTTGATTGGACTATGTTAGCCAGCTACCGAGAACTTATCAGAGGATTTTTAAGAGCTTCTTTTCTGATTTTCCTCTTCAGCCTGGGAGTTAACTTTTTTGAACGCCCTCTACGCTCATTGTTTTCAGTTGAACCACGTTCTTCATACCTTTATATGACGTATCTCACTCTAGAAAAATACAACCCTAAGAAATCGGTAATTTGGCGATATGTTTTTTGCTGACTCCTCAGTAAAACAATTTTTTCGCGAGTTGCGGCACACAGTTCACTTGTCTTTGGCATGATGATTGTCTATTGACTAAAAGAAACTGATTGAAAGACCAGAGAATACTGGTAATAACTGATTAGAGATAAATTATTAAACTAATCTATGACCTATGGACACAGGAGGATTAATGCCAAAATAAACAGAGCTTGTGAGTCATAGTGTGCAAATACATTTTTCCAAGCACTTTTATTGTTTTAATTTTTTTGTTTCATTATGGAGTGTTGTCATTTTTTTCCAAAAGGTTTTTCTCAGTTTTTAAAAAATGTACTTTTCATTTTTGGCTCCTTGAACTCATTTATTCATAAAAACATGTGCAAATATTTTTTTTCCATCACTGTACATATCAAGGACCTTGAGAGGCCCTGGACGATAAGATATTTCGGGAACCATCTTGGTTACAACTTGGGACTGTCTGTCTGCGGGATTTTGGATGCGGAAGGGGGTCCGACACCCACTCCCTTCCTCCTTATTTTAAAATAAATAGGCAAAATAACAATATTTCATGCCATTAACTGTATTTTTAAAAGTTAATATTTATATCGTACAATATTTAATAACAATTTTTTACTTTCGCTTATCTATATATGTTAAGAAGAATTATTGTGATCATGAACATTTTTGGATCTGTGTTTTCAGCTGAAATACATGTTTTGATGTCTCCTGAGTACAAATAACCAAGTCCCGCAAAATGGTGTGTGTTAGTGTGAAGTCTAGCTCAAAAATGAAAAGTTCTATGAAAGTGAAATTGCATATTTAAGGTTTTTATATACCTGGGACCTTATTGCAACTTTCTAATCCAAATCGGCTAACCGAAAGTGGCACTTTATATTGTCGATTTTACACATTTTTACGATTTTCTCGAAAACGGCTTTATCAATTTTGATTAAATTCCTTATATCAGTGTAAAATTAAGCAGTTTTTAATATAATATACGTTTTTTTTTCATTGACGTTCTCTAACAGGGCTTCAATGACTAATTTCTAATATTTCTTCCTCCAAAGTACCTTTATTCAAAATAATTAACCATTTCACAATTAACTATGATATAAAAAATAGTTAAATATAAAATATGAAAGAATTTGATGATTAAGTAAAGGAGAAATAAGAGATCGTAACGAAGAATAGTTGGAATAGGATGACCAAAGTAATACGAGCTCGCCCGAACTCACCCGAGTTCGACCGAAAGATTTGAACGGGCTTCCATAAGTAACACAAGCTTAATATAATACGGACTCCGACAAAATTATATACTTAAACATATGCGGTTTTCATAAATGTAATCGTTTGTATTATTTAATATTTAATTGTATAGATTTCTGCAGAAAATTAAAGCTAGAATTGGCTACCTTCAGATCCCAATCCTTCGACTCTTACCTTACTTCCTTCTCTTCTCATGATAATTCCCTATGGAAGATCACTAAACAAATCCTAAAACACCATCATATATCATATCCTCTCCGTCGAGGTGATGGCTCTTGGGCATCGTCTGACGGAGATAGAGCCGAGGAATTCGCCAAACACCTTTCCCTTACATTCACCTCTCATCAGGAATCCAATCCCACCCACACGTCAGCAGTAGAGGAATTCCTTAATTCACCCATCCCTCTCTCCTTACCGCCTAAAGCAGTGAATCCTTCTGAGGTCAAATACCACTAACAAAAACTACCTACCCGCAAATCACCTGGATACGACCTTCTTACCTCTCAGATTCTTAGACTACTCCCTCCTAAAGCTGTCATATCCCTTACATACATATAAAATAGCATCCTACGAACCACCCACTTTCCTCTTTTATGGAAACATTCTACTACTATCCTATTCCCAAAATCAGGCAATTTTTCCAACAGCTTAACTTCTATAGACCCATTAGCCTACTTCCAATCCTTTCAAAAATCCTTGAAAAGATCCCCCTGAAAAGAATCCTACCCTTTATAGAATCTCAAAATCTTCCTTCACATCAGTTCGGATTCCGTTCCCAACACTCCACAGTCCAACAAGGACTTCGAGTGGTCGGACATATTTCCGCAGCCCTGGAAAGCAAGCAACATTGCTCGGGTGCATTTCTGGACATTGCTCAAGCTTTTGACCGAATATGGCACGCCGGACTTCTTTTCCAACTTAAAATCCATCTTCCTCAGTCCTTATACCTTGTCCTCCGTTCCTACCTCTCAGATCGTACCTTCCGAGTTCGCTGCGGCACTGAATTTTCAAATTGCTATCCAATTGAGGCTGGTGTTCCTCAAGGTAGCATATTGGGTCCTTTACATAGGATTATCCCCAGTGACGCGGTTGAGAGAGAAGTGCAGGGATCTCCTGGAGTCATGCTTTTCCCTCCACAGTTGGAAGGACAAGTCTGGCTCGGAGTTCTCTCGCCAGATTGTAAATATTGTACATAGGTATGTATGTGTTCTTTTTATTTATTTATTTTTAGGTTATTTTATTCTTATTTATTGTATATATATTATTTTTCTGTATAATTTATTTCGTTTATTGTAGATAGAGTGTGAATGTGATCTCTGAACACTAATATAAATGTCCTTTGAGACAGATTGTAATATTTTTCAATAAATAA